GACCGTGCAAATCTTTCGGTCGTTTTTTAACCCACTTCCCGTGATCCAATCGAGCTGACATTTTGCACACAGACTCGTTGTGCGTGACAATTTATTTTCGTGAAATAATTTTTCCAAAATGTTACACTTTTTAGGAAAAAATAAATTATATTTAATTACCAATTGCTTAATGGTGGCAGGCAATCATCTGACCCATAGGTGGCAGCCATCTCAAGCCAGAAGACGAGAGGACTCTAGCCGCCACGCATATAAAGGATTTATAGTGAAAAACGTTTGTTTTTACGGGTTAATTTTTTTACTTACTGATTAATCCGTGTCACGCGGTTGTCCACTGCATCAGGTGAGTTACTGTCGGTAGTGATACAATCGCCACTCTTACGGAGTGTCACCCAGCACAGCCAGTCTTCAATAATAATTATAAGGGTCTTCATTTCTTCCAGCACGAGACACACATGTCTTCAGGGATTCCTTTCACTCCAAGCGTCCCGAAAACTCTCTCGGTTTCCCCTTCTCATATTACCCCTCAAGCCATCTTTCTCGAAGGTTCCTGAACCCGCTTTCCCTACAGCCCATCACCTTTCCACTTTTCCTCACGGATTCCAACCGTCCATCCCTGTCAATCATCCTCCGTTTTCTAGATTTGAAGCTTTCGTGACTGCAAGGATTCATACTCTTAGTTCTTTCGGTAAAGTCACGTAGGTAAAAAATGAAATTGAAATTAAGAAAAATAAAATAAAAATCACGACGTTTCGGAGGCAACACAAGTCTCCGTCATCGGGTGGGACCGTCACAGCCAGATTTGCTGCATCAAGTGGTGCATGAATTTAATTTTTTACCTACGTGACTTTACCGAAAGAACTAAGAGTATACCCTTCAGCCATCTTTCTCGAAAGTTCCTGAACCCGCTTTTCCCTACAGCCCATCACCCTCCCACTTTTCCTCATGGATTCCAACCGTCCATCCCTGTCAATCACCCTCCGTTTTCCCGTTCTTTCCATTTTGTATTTCTATTCCAATCCCCTTCAATTTCCCTGCCTCTAACCAATCCCCTTTCAGGCCCAGTTAAGTTACCAATCAGAGGGCTTTGTTATTACACGCTTTCATTTAACTGACTCTGTTGTTGTATCCTCAAATCTTGTAACCCAATTGTAACCCACTTCTCAATGTCGTATCGACTGCAAACTTGGTATACTTATGTCATACTGATGACAATACTATATTCTATCATTAAAATAAAATATTTTTAAACATTCTTTATACGCGCTTTAATTAACTCACTCTGTTGTTGTTGTCGTATCTTCAAATCTTGTAACTCAATTGTAACCCACTTCTCAATGTAGTATCGACTGAAAACTTGGTATACGTATGTCATACTGATGACAATACTATATTCTATCATTAAAACCAATCCCCTTTCAGGTCCTGCTAAGCACCGTTCAGTGAGGACTTGTTCTACCTCCCGATTGGCCAAGCCATGCACGCCGTGTCCATAACATCGGGTGAGTTTTTTCGGTTGCGATCGAATCTCAATGTATCTCAGTTTCCATGAGAAGTTGGAAGGGGTCATACTCTTAGTTCTTTCGGTAAAGTCACGTAGGTAAAAAATGAAATTAAAATAAAAAAAATCACTGTAAAAAATGAAATAAAAATTAATAAAAAAATAAAAACAATACAATTATTTTTATTTTTATTAATTTCATTTTTTACCTACGTGACTTTACCGAAAGAACTAAGAGTATGAATCCTTGCAGTCACGAAAGCTTCAAATCTAGAAGTTGGATGGGGGTTTTGTTGTTGTTGTGGCCTACAACAGGCTTCTTAAAAAATGGCGTTCACTCGTGACATTAAGTAAGGCATCTTTATTTGAGGAAACTTTAAGAGGGGTGGGTGAGCAGGGAAGGGGTAATATGTTTTAAAATCGTTTTTATTTTACTTCGCTCGGAAGTGTCTATGCATTTTATTTATTTCCTTGCTTTCCAAAGTTGCTCCCAAGGTAAGACGCGATCAATCTTAGGCGACAGTGCGATCGATTCACGGCGGGTTTACAAACGAACAGGCGAATTATAATTAACAACAACGCCGACAAATAACAAAAAAAAACGCGTAAAGAGAAAACCTCATGAGAATAAGAAGCTAAGCCCCTGTTGATATAAACTACCGTACATTATACTTTTTTTGTTTGTTAAACACAATATTTTTTCATCAAAGGTAATAAAAGCCACTCCCCGACCCAGTAGCCCCCTCTTTCCACTGCCACATCCGAGCCGAGCGAGCACGGTGTACGGGTACGTTTTCCACTATTCTCCGTGCAGAGCAGTGCTACACTGGCCTCCTTTCAAACCTTTCAACCCTTTACCATTCCGAGATGCCTGCAAGTTGCAGGGTGTTTTGGGTGTTCCGTTCACCGCTGAACCTCGAAACGCGCGCAAGCGATTCAGCGTTAATTTTCTCTCTGCACTCACCGCAGAGAACCGTAGCGTCTCGACCGTCACTCTACGATAGCTGGCCAAAAACTGTGCCGACACGCACTTCCCCCGCAGGGCCTTGTGGATTAAATAACTAAAATTGAATCACTGTATCAGTACGTCTTCAGGTCGGAAGTTATTTTATTTTAGTTTTTCTCCACATTCGTACACCTTACACGTACTTTTGGAGCTTTCGTGACTGCAGGAATTATTCTTTGGTTCTTTCGGTAAAGTCACGTATAAAGATATTTATTATTTTATACGTGACTTTACCGAAAGAACCAAAGACGAACCCTACACGTACTTCATCGTAACGAAATAGGAAGCAAATACTAATTTTTTTTTATGACGTACGTCATCGGAAATGGCAAAGGGTTAATGCATCTAGCTTCGCCCCAGGTCCAAGCAAGGCCAGGCCCAATGACACGACCATTGCTTGTGACGTCAATGGGTGACGCTGCGAGCGAACCCCGTCACCCGCACGCGCCTTGTTCGCGTGCGGCTGCGACGTCGCCGAGTGAGGAAAAACCGATTGAAAAACCCGGCTACACCGGGCTACGAGACTCTGTACGGCCCAGGTACGGCTTCGGTTGTTGCCAGTGGGGGGGGGCGTGGGGGGGGGGGAGAGGTACAAACAAAGAGGTTTGGAGTTCAAGAAGAGGAAAAAGAACCCGCTGGATTGGTCGCGTCACCACCCCCACAATAGTAGCATTTCTTCCACCAACCTATAGCCGGGTTATAAGAGGCGCGCACACATAAATAGCCGCTCTCGATAGATCAAAAAAGGGCGGCGTTAAAAAAAGGGGGGTCCCAAAAATAAAAAAAAATAATGGCCCCCATCCCCTGCTCCCTTAGAGCCGCCATGAAGGGCACGGGTGGGACGGTGGTGGAGGAGGAGGAGGATGGTGGGGGGAGGGGGGGACCAGGGGGGGGAGAAGGCAAAGGAGGGAGGGGGTGCTGATGTTTAGGGGGCGAGTGGATAGGATGGGTGGATGTGGATTCTATTACGGGACAGTGAAATATGAAGTCAATCATAATCCCCGTGCGTGCGCACACACAAGGACACAGAGGGAGAGAGACACGTTCAGAGAGACACGCACAGGTTCACAGACACACGCGCAAACACATGCACGTTCACAGAGACACGCAAGCACGCAGACACACACACACACACGAGACACACATCGCAAGCGCAGAGACAGATGCACGCGCGAGTTCAACGCGCGTGCGACGTTCACGCGCCGACGAACTGGGAGGCGAATTTAGGAGCCGGTGGCCAAGCAGAAGAGGGGAAAAGCCGAAACGGGAACGAGCCGGACCACTCGCAGGAGCGCGTGTCGTCGGTATGCACCTAGAACTTCGCTCTCCACCGTAACGCGGCCAAACGTGCGCTCAAATCGGAGGGTGCGACCCTGTCCCCAACGTTTCGACCGCATTAGCCACCGCGTGCCGAGTGACTTTCGAACCGCGCGGCATGGCGATATTTGGGGGTGGCGAAATGGAGGGGGGGGGGGAAACAAAACGGATAGGTTCGCGCGGCAGCGAAATCGCACCGAGCGAGGGGAAACCTGAAGCAGCGGTCGGCACTGGGACACGCGGAGAGATGGCGCTGCGCGTCGTCCAGCGGCTTAGCTGTCGAGTGCGCAGGCGGTGGAACTGCACCCACGTCCCCCCCCTTATGGGACCACAGGGCCATGTTATTCATTGTACTGGGAGGGGGAGGAGGGGGTCACGTGACAACCACGGCCAACTGTGCCCACCGGGGTGTCGTCCGTTAAGAATAAAAACGACAAGTGGCCCCCCAAAAAAAGTTCGTGGCATTTCAGAGAATTCGGTAAAAGGGGCCCAAGTCCCTCCGCCGTCGAGTCGACCACACTCGGGGCGGGTTCAGCCAGACAGCCAAAAGTGTTGCGGGACAAACTTGAACGTGCTGAGAGCGGAGGGGGGGGGCAGAGAGCGCGAGAGAGAGAAAGAGCGTGAGAAGCAACGCGATACGATGGAAAGTCTCCCGGAGTAAGTGGGCCACGCGCGTCTGGCTGCCGATTGGCACCGGCTACTGCCGCCGCCGCCGCCGCCGCCGCTACTACCCGCTGGGCTAATTTCTTCTTAAACTGTTTACACATCAAGCGCGACGGTCCCACGTAATGGCTTTTGTAATCATTGTTGCCGAGATCGAGTCTTAAAAATAATCTGTCCCCGAAGCCGATATAGACTTGACGGCGCTCGTGAACGACGCCGGGCGTGGAGCTGGCGGCCACCGCGCTTTTACAACCGGGAACCGTGAAGCGCCAAACGGACGATTCGGAACGCGCGGGAGGGACAAGTTTGCGTGATCTTCTTGGTTCTTTCGGTAAAGTCATCACGTAGAAGGGAAGTAATAAAATAATAAAAATAAAACATAATAAAACAATTCTCACGACGTTTCGGCCACAACGCAAGCAGCCGTCCTCAGGTGAAAACCAGGTCCGTCACCTGAGGACGGCTGCTTGCGTTGTGGCCGAAACGTCGTGAGAATTGTTTTATTATGTTTTATTTTTATTATTTTATTACTTCCCTTCTACGTGACTTTACCGAAAGAACCAAGAAGATGAATCCCTGCAGTCACGAAAGCTTTAAATCGAAATTTAAGTTTGCGTGAATGCGCGACGTCGATCGCCCTAAGCACGAGAGAGACCCAGCAACCACGCGCCTCCTCCCCCATCACCACCCCCCCCCCACCACCAAAGCCAACCGGACAAATACATCGCACGGGCAGATACATTCGCGACCCCCCCCCCCCCACCAATTAAGAGAGAGCACACGAAGGAGCTACGTAAGAATGCAACGTCACAATATCCCCCCCGCCCCCCCGCTGGCTGATCAACCACCCACAGCGCGTGACGAGGGGGGGGTGGGGTGGGGGGGGGGGGCGTCCGTGGAAAACAGAAGAGCTTCACGGCTCATCGGATTCCATGCAGCAGCAGGAGAAAGATGACGATGCTGTAGGAGGCGGCGGCGGCGTCGATCCTCCAACGGACGCTCTCCGCAAATCCGCACCGACCGTCTCGCCGCTCACGCGCACACACACACACACGCACACACACACACGCATACACGCGCACACACACGCACAGACACACACACGCACGCACACGTACACACACACGCACACACGCGCGCACAAAGCGCCTGGACGCACACACGCGCACAAAGCGCCTGGACGCAAAATGAACCGTGATACCTCGCCACCGCCGATCTCGTCAAGGAGAGCGAAAACAAACCAAACAAAAACGCCACCACGTGACACTCCGGGGTCACCATCACCGCAGCGACAGCGGGCAGCAGCAGCAGCAGCAGCAGCGGCAGCGGGGGTTTTGGCCGAGCCGCCGGTTGTCGCGTCATCGAGCGGCGCTTTCGGATGCGCCTCTGTGGCCCGTCTCTCCCCTTCCAATACTCGGAAGCCACTGTGAGCTTACGCAACGTTTCAATCGCCGTCTCGATTGACACACTCGTTTCTTTAGCGATACAGGTCGTCGTTCTTGGCGGGTTAGATCGCGCAAAATATCAATGTTGTGTCGTTAAACCCGCCACCACCCCCCCCCCCCCGACACAGCACAACTAGTAACGGTTGTCACGTAAACAGAACTTGCCGATTCGTCACTAGTACAGCACTAAACCAGTTGTGTGTTGGGGAGCAAATCCACAACATTTTCCACGTTTCGCCAGGAAGTACAACCGGCATCATCAGGCGGCAGCCAGATGTACACGATCATCAATTTTGGTCCCGAAAGCCTACCCGTTACAACTCATTCCTTGAGAACTGATTTTTTTGTCTCCAGCTTGTCGCCATGCCCCCCCAACCCCCCGCCGCACCTGCGATAAGAGCGCGGTTTGGCTACGCGCGGTGCGAAAGAAGTTCAACACATGGACGTACGTTCGCGAGATAATAAACGGCAAAGTTCGGAGCAGTTTTTTTTTTACACCGCATTCATTTTTTGCCCAGCAACCCCCACCGGTACGTGCTGGCCGTTGCGTGCCGTTGTTTTATACCGGTGTTCACACATCCGCCCCGAGCCTCCCCAGCGAGTCGGATACGTGACGGAGTGGCTCACCGTCAACATTATCGTCGTTGTTGTTGATGTTGTTAGCGCGACATTAACAGCTACAAGTCCTTGACGACCGGACTGGGAGCAGACAATGAGCTGGGTGGGGGTTTCAACGCCAGCCACCGTGGTCAAGCGTGGTCAAGCGTGGTCCATCATGGTCCATCGTGGTCCACCATGGTCCACCATTGGTCCACCCACGTGCCACCTCCCAACCATCAGCCCACAGATGCGGCGTAAACCAGCCGACGCACGGACTCCGACGACTCGGGGAGAGGGGGGGGGGGGGCCTCGACGACTGGAGTGGAAGGCAGCCGCTGGGAAATTCACGCACGGCCAAACGCTCCGTCCTTTCACCTGTCCCGTGTATTTGTCCATGTGTTCGTCTGTGTGCCAGTCCACGTGTGTGTCCGCGTGTCCGTGCGTCGGTGCGCCCGTCTGTGTGTCTGTCCAAGAGTTCGTCTGTCCATCCGCGTGTATGTCCCTGTATCCGTCCGTCAGCCCCCTCTCCATCGACCTCTGCGCTCTGCGAGTAGTGTGTGGGGCACATTCGCCGTGGCCCGGCTACTGCTCGCTCTCCTCGTGCTCCGAGCCTCCTCCTGGGGACACAGACAGAAGGCACAGCAGGGTTAAAAGTCAACGCCGGGTTAAAGGTCAACGCCGGGTTAAAGGTCAACGCCGGGTTAAAGGTCAACGCCGGGTTAAAGGTCAACGCCGGGTTAAAGGTCAACGCCGGGTTCACCGGTAGCCACGATCAATCCAATGCTGCACCAACACCACCCTATGTGTACGTTCAACTTCTTTCGCGCCCTACGTAGCCAACCGTGCTTAATCGGAGGTGCGGGGGAAGGACAACTAACTAAAACGAAATAACCGAGTTTTCAATCGACATTTAAAAGTGGCACGGCTCCAAGTGGCTGCCTAATATCGGAAGGGAAGAGCGTTCCAGACGGCCGCAGGAGCGCATCCGAAAGCGCCGCGTGACGATGCGTTGACCGCCCTCTTCATCCGACGGCCGAGCGTGAACACCGATGGACGATGGCGGTGAGAGCCGCGTACAGACGCCGCACAGAGTGGCCACCACGTGGTCGTATTGATGGATGGGGGATGGTGGGGGGGGGTGGTATTGGCATTGTTGGTTGGTGGTAGGGAGATGGTGTCGGTGGTAGTGTTGGTTGTGTTGATAGCCGTGTTGTTAGTGGCGTTAGCGGTGGTGACGGTGTTGTTGGTGTTAGCGTTGGTGTTGTTAGCGGTGGCGTTGGTGGTGTTGGTGGTGTTGGTGGTGTTGTTGTTGGTGGTGTTGGTGATGTTAGTGGCGTTAGTGGTGGTGACGGTGTTGTTGGTGTTGGCGTTGTTAGTGGTGGCATTGGTGGTGTTGTTGGTAATGTTAGTGGCGTTAGTGGTGGTGACGGTGTTGTTGGTGTTGGCGTTGTTAGTGGTGGCATTGGTGGTGTTGTTGGTAATGTTAGTGGCGTTAGCGGTGGTGGCGGTGTTGTTGGTGGCAGCGTTGGTGTTGTTAGCGGTGGCGTTGGTGGTGTTGTTAGTGATGTTAATGGAAGTGACGGTGCTGTTGGCGTGGCCGTGTTGTTCGCGGTGCCGTTAGAAGCAAAGGCACGGCTAGGATCTCTCCCCGCCCCTCCCCGCCCCGTGCCCGCGCCTCCGCTCGTGCCCCTGGGAGGAGGCCTCACTCGGCACGGACAGCGTTGGCGCTCGCCTCGTGTCAAGGTCGCGCCCGAGCGCCGGGCGGTACGGAGACCCCACCTCACCCCGAGCCACCCCGGGTGCATCATGCCCCACCGTGCCCCACGCGACCCGCTAGCCACGGTCACTACCCCTAACCCTGAGCCGATGATAGCCATCCCAGCAGTAGATTCACAGGGCCTGAATCCATTATTTACTCTTGTTATTATTAAAAAGTGTAATTTCCCGTTACGTGACGGGCATATTCATGCCGCAAATGATCCAGTGTGTCTTGACTATGCCGATGACGCCATCTCTCCGTTTAACCGGCGCCTTCTTTCGTCTGCAGACTCTTCTGGATTCATCGGAATGAAATCTAAATGAGCGACTTGACGCACTGAATGGAATTTACTCCGAGATTAACTCGTGACAAATCTGTATATTAAGAATGACGACTGTAAATGACCGCTATTGTAGCGTTCTAAGAGCCGTTTGAGTTACCCTTTCTATCAGGAAGAAAGTACACAAACTATGCTTCAATTCAAATTTTGATTTTCCCCAAACTTACATTTTTTCCTCGCATGCGAGAGTGAATATAAAAACCTAAACCATTGTGTTGGTTGCGAATGTGAGCGGGAATATCCAAATATAAACCATTGTGTTGGTTGCAGGAGTGATTTAATTATTATAAGTACTTTACTATCAGGTTTAATCGGTAAAGTCACGTAGGTAAAAATAAAAAAATTAAAATTAAAATAATAGAAATAATATAATTAAAATAATAATTTTAGTTCTATTATTTCCATTATTTTTATTTATTATTATTTATTTTTACCTACGTGACTTTACCGAAAAAACCTGAGAGTATGAATCCTTGCAGTCACGAAAGCTTCACATCTAGAATTATAAGTACCGACTTACTGGATTCTGTATCGATGTGAATACAAAAAGATTAACCATTTATAAACCGGAAGGACAGGGCCGGTGTTCATTAACGTTCATAAATTTTCGCTACAAAATGTGAGCAGAAGCTCGCTTTTACATAAAAACTAATTTGCTGAATTGACGTGAATTTTAAGAAATGTTTAAACCGTAAGCGCGGGCCAAAAGTCGCTCAGGTGGAAACAAAAAAAAAACCATTGTCACGCACAAATATTAACCGAGTATTCCTGGGTCTTTTGGTAAAGTCACGTAAGATAGGTTCAAATAAAATAAGAAAAAATAACGAAAAAAACGACGTTTCCACACTTTTCCTGAAGACGACCAGCTTGTGTTGCGATCGAAACATCGCAGATTTTTGTTTTCTTTTTGGTTATTTTCTTTGAACCTATCTACGTGACTTTACCGAAAGACCCAGGAACACGAATTCCTGCAGCCACGAAAGCTTTAAGTCAAGAATTAACCGGGTAGATTCTTTATTAATTGTTATTGTTCCGTAATCGTGGTGGGCAAAACGCAAAGATGCAACACGAAATGCAAGAGGCATGCAACTTGGCTTTTACCCAAAGCGCCGCTGGGCATATTCTTTTTGGAGAAAATTGATTATTCTTGTAACAAACTCATAACACTGGTCAACACACTTTTTCTGGCATGAGGTATTCCAACGGTTTTAATGTAATTTTGGGGTGCCGATTCCAAATCTGGCATCAGTTTTTGTCTATCACATCAGGTTTTTGAGATATCAAATATTGCATTTTCAATAAAAACTGCAGAAGAAAAATATTAGATAAATCGTGGATATCTACATAAAATGATATTATAAGCACACTATCCTAAAATACAGTACCATATTTTAACACAAAATCAGCCACTGACTCGCAACAATTTGCAATCATAAGTGACAGAGCTAATTTCGGGTAAAATCAATGAAAATGGGGTATGCCGATAGCATAACAATGAGATGTGATAGAGCAAATCTGAGATCAGATTTGGAATCGGCACCCTGAAATTAGTCTAAAACAGCTGCAAAAGTCCAGGCCAGAAAAAAATGTGTTTTTTTTGTTGACCAGTGTAATTAAGGAAGAATAATACGCCTTTTATATGAACAAAAATTGCATGGAAATCCGCGTAGCCAAGCCGGTGGCGTTACACGCAGCGCTACGGAGTGGTCAGGTGTGCGTGAGGCACAGACCACCAAAACTATACTTATAACAGAGGTCGCAACCGGGTACCCGATACCCGTACCCGGCCGGGTAGGGTACGGGTACGGCCGGGTACGGGTACCCATTTGCGACCCTGGTGCGGCCGGGTACGGGTAAGGAATCAAAACCCGTTTGTGACCTTTGACTCATAATGGTGCCATGGTTTGGCCCCACGAAATGTTTGCCTTGAGCATCAGTGGGGGGGGGGGGGGGGGGGGGGGGGGTGCCACTTCTAACGGGCAAACAGACAAGGGGGGGGGGGGGGCTCTGTAAACCTCCTGCCACCTAGTCGCCCCGAATGTGCCACCACATCTCTGGCGGGGGGTAGAGGGGGGCACGGTGGGCCTTCATCCATTCCCTACCCCCCGGCAACATCCGATTAGCAACGATTGGCTACGTACGGTGTGAAAGAAGTTCAACATACAGTACATACATAGACTCACGCAGAGACCCATAGACTCACGCAGAGACTCATAGACTCACGCAGAGACCCATAGACTCACGCAGAGACTCAGACTCACGCAGAGACTCATAGACTCACACAAAGACCCAGACACACACACAGACCCATACACTCACATAGAGACCAATAGACTCACACAGACACCCATAGATTCACACAGAACCCCATAGATTCACACAGACACCCATATATTCACACAGAGACCCATAGACTCACGCAGAGACCCATAGACTCACACAGACACCCATAGATTCACATAGACACCCATAGACACACACAGAGACCATAGCCTCACACAGAGACCCATAGACACACACAGAGACCCATAGACACACACAGAGACCATAGACTCACACAGAGGCCCATAGACTCGCACAAAGACCCATAGACTCATGCAGACACCCATAGTCCTTGCCCACTCCCCGGCACCTCCGATTAGCACAGCTGGCTATGTACAACACGAAAGAAGTTCAACATGCCGCACACACAGCAATTTGAAACAAGAAACCAGTCCCTCCCCCCAACAAAGAGAGGCATGGAGGTGGTGGGGGGCATGGGATGGACGTACTGACCGCCCGGTTAATCGTCCGCGCAGTGAACATTCTGTCTACCGCTGCGCACTGTGATTGATTTGGTGCTAATGTGCCACGCGGGGGGATGACGCCGTTGGGACGCGCACTCACACAGAGACCCACAGACTCGCACAGAGACCCGTAGACTCACACAGAGACCCACAGACTCACACAGAGACCCACAGACTCACACAGAGACCCACAGACTCGCACAGAGACCCACAGACTCACACAGAGACCCGTAGACTCACACAGATACCCAGAGACTCACACAGAGACCCACAGACTCACACAGAGACCCATAGATTCACACAGAGACCCAGAGACTCACACAGAGACCCAAACTCACACAGAGACCCATAGACTCACACAGAGACCCATGGACTCACACAGAGACTCACAGACTCACAGAGACCCACAGACTCACACAGAGACCCACAGACTCACACAGAGACCCACAGACTCACACAGAGACCCACAGTCTCACACAGAGACCCATAGTCTCACACAGAGACCCATAGATTCACACAGAGACCCACAGACTCACACAGAGACCCATGGACTCACACAGAGACTCACAGACTCACACAGAGACCCACAGACTCACACAGAGACCCACAGACTCACACAGAGACTCACAGACTCACACAGAGACCCATGGACTCACACAGAGACCCATAGACTCACACAGAGACCCACAGACTCACACAGAGACCCATAGACTCACACAGAGACCGAGAGACATTCACAATCATGCACTCGCTCGGTCACTCGCTCACTCAATCACTCGCTCGGTCACTCAATCATTCACTTGCTCGCTCACTCAATCAATCATCCACTCGCTCGCTCGCTCGCTCACGCACTCACGGCTCTCGCCCGCTCGCAGCTGCTCAGCGGCACGCAGCGACACAAAAAACGCCGCCACCCCCCCCCCCCCCACATCGCTCTAACCCCCCCCAGCCCCCACCCCGGCACGGCGCGAGAGACAGACGATACCGTCGCGCGCCGCGGCGACGTTTGGAAACATTGAGCTCGTCCAGGATGTCCCAGCGGCAGATGCCTCGAGCAGCAGGACATCCCTGGGGGGAGTTTGGCTGCAGCATGGATGGCAGCTGACAGCATCCACTCTCTCTCTCACTCACTCTCACTTTCACTCACACTCTCTCTTACTCTCTCTCACTCACACTCTCTCTTACTCTTTCACTCACTCTCACTCACTCTCTCTCTCTCACTCACTCTCTCTCACTCTCACTCACTCACTCTCTCACTCACTCTCACTTTCACTCACACTCTCTCTTACTCTCTCTCACTCACTCTCTCTCTCACTCTCTCTCTCACTCTCCCCTGTCTCTCTCTCCCCCCCGTCTCTCCCCTCTCTCTTTTTTTGCTTTTGATTCTCTACTTTTTTCACTTTTAGATTTTTTTTATTTTTTTTATCAGCACTTTTTCTTATCTTTTTTATTTCTTTTGCTTTTCTATTTCTCTCCTCAGTTTCTCCCCATCTCTCCTCCTCCCCCTGTCTATCCCCCCATCTCTCCGTCTCTCCTCCTTTATGTCCCTCTCTCCTCCTCCTGTCTCTAGCCCCTCTCTCAACTCTCTCTCTCCCTTGTCTCTCTCTCTCCCCCCTCTCTCTTGTTCACTCGTTAACGCGCAATCGAGCGCGGGCCCACGTGGCTTACCACCACCGCCACCACCAGCACCGCCACCACCACCAGCACCGCCACTGTCACCACTGCCACCACCGCCACTGTCACCACCGCCACCACCAGCACCGCCACCACCACCAGCACCGCCACCACCGCCACCGCCGCTACCACCAGCAGCGCCACCACCAGCACCACCACCAGCACCGCCACCACCACCAGCACCGCCACCACCGCCACCGCCACCACCAGCACCGCCACCACCAGTACCACCACCACCACCGCCACCACCACCACCGCCACCACCAGCATCACCACCACCAGCAAGCAGTACCATGAAAGGAACTCGTGAAAATCCTTCAAGTGTATATTTAAGGACAGCTAATCCGCAAGTTGTATGTTTCAACGTAGTTTGACTGGGCAATTTGGCTTAAGGGCCGTTTAATTGTAACACAAAACAATGACAAAGATCCCCCGTGTAGCCTTCGCAGACTGCTGGGGCAAGTGCTGTTAACGAGCACCTATAAAGGCCGGCACGGCACACGAGGGGGTGGGTGGCCAGCACCGCGCCCGGCCGCCTTTGTCTCCCTACTGGCGATGATTTTACTACACACAGCACCCAGGTACTCATTTGAGGCCGAGTCTACCTAGGGGGAGGCCCAGGACCGGTTCAGATGATCGTCACTGGGTGGTGGCCGTGAGCGGGAATCGAACCCGGGTTGCCAGGTTCGGAGCGAAGCGCGGCGCTAACCGCTGCACCACCACTCCCACCACCACCACTACCGCCACCACCACCGCCACCACCGCTCCCCACCACCACCGCCACAACCACCGCCGCTGCCACCACCACCACCACCGCTCCCCACCACCACCGCTCCCCACCACCACCACCGCTCCCCACCACCCCCACCACCGCCACCCCCGCCACCACCGCCGCCACCGCCACCGCCACCACCACCACCACCACCGCGGGTTATTTTTACCCCTCGCCCGCGTCCCTCTCTCGTCCAGAGCCACGGCTTCCAGAGTGGCTGCGGGAACACCGCGGGGGGGGTGGGAAGGGGGTGGGGGGGGGGAATCGTCGCTCGGCGTCGCGGTCGCCCCACCGGCATCGGCACTGCCGCCGATCGAACGTCGTCGACCGTCGATCCGATTACCGGAGCGTGCGTCTGTGTGCGTGCGCATGCGTGTGTTTGTTTGTGTGTGCGCGTGTTTGTGTGTGTGTGTGCATGTGTGTGTGCGTGTGCGCGTGTGTGCACATACGTGTGTGTGTGCGAATGCGTGCCACATGCGCGTGTTTGTGTGCATGCGTGTGTGCGAATGCGTGCCACGTGCGTGCCGCGTGCGCGTGCACGTGCGCAATTTCGACTTCCCGCCGTGCAAAGCTGCGTCGGGGCCGCGTTACCGCTACCCCCCCCCCCGCCTGCCCCCCCCCACCGCGTGCCCCCCCCGCCTGCCCCCACTGCAGTATCACATTGTGCTGAACAACATCGAAGTCTTAGCGCGACGCAAATAATCCGTCGCTCTCGCGCGCGTTTTGCGAGTTGCCGTGCCAGGCGACATCCGTGGCGTATTTATAATGATGCACGCCGCGCGCGGTCGCTCACGCGCGGCGTATCGGTCCGATAAATACGAGAATCCGAATATTTATTTAGATCTTTGGGCCAAGGGGGAGAGCACTCATTACCCGGTCGCCTAAAAAAAACGGACTGCGACGGAATCGCCGATCGTGCCGATATCAGCCAATCAAAAATATGAATACACGAGAGCCGTAGTCACACGACGCTTTGCTGACCGATGGGATACATCGGTCCGTGGGTCGATTGCGAATCAATCGACGCGGCGATCAACCCGGCAAAACATCCATGTTGATGTGATAGCCACGTCGCTTCTGAAGAAGAGCTGTTATATTATAGCAGGTCAGTGTGGACCTTGGTAAAATAAAAATATAGAGTTAAATAAAAATAATAAACACTTTCTTCTATACTATGAGACCTCCTTTTCCAGTGGCAAAATATAGTGATAGGTTTTTACCCTTTCAACTGGTACAAAAACTGACAGCTTTATACAAGGAATCATGTTTGCAATAACCACAACACAAGCAGTCAAAATGTCTTTGAGTTGTACGCCTTTTGGCGTCATCTGGTCCAACACCAATGGAGACTAGGCTCTAAGAAAAGCTGTCTCGGGTGTGGACCAATCAACTTCAAGGACGGTGCATATCATTATCATCATCAGAGTTGTTTCTTTTTGTTTGCATTTTGACTGCTTGTGTTGCGGTTATTGCAAACATGATGCCTTGTATAAAGGTGTCAGTTTTTGTACCAGTTCAAAGGGTAAAAACCTATTACTACTACTCTCTTCTATATATGCGCGTGTCCAATTGTATTCTAGATTTGAAGCTTTCGTGACTACAAGGATTCATATTCTTAGGTTTTTCGGTAAAGTCACGTAGGTGAAAAAAAATTAAAATTAATAAAAGTATAATAAAAAATTAAATAAAAATCACGACGTTTCGGAGGCAACACAAGCTTCCGTCTTCAGGTGCAATTTTTATTTTATTTTTATTTTACTTTTATTAATTTTAATTTTTTTACCTACGTGACTTTACCGAAAAAACCTAACAATACAATATGTCCAATTGTATGTTGTACTACAGCGCCCCCACGTGGCAAATACGCGTCGTACCAGCTGCGTCTGTTCAGAATCAAAACATTTATTTATTCACACTGGAGGAATCCGATGAGCTCTCAAGCTCTATTTGCTCTTCCTTCACAAGATATCCGGTGAACAGTTGCCGCTGTGAGTGGGACGTCCGCTTCATGACGGACACCGCGACTGCCCGATAACTAGCGGTCGCCTCAACCCCCCACACGCGCACTCTCACACTTCACGTCGCCGACGGCATCGGCGACGTCCGCCCCTTTCCTCGCCGTCCGTCTCCTCTCAAGCCATCACCACCACCACGGCCACCACCGCCGCCGCCGCCACCACCGCCACCACCGCCACCACCGCCGCCACCACCGCCACCACCACCACCACATGCCTCCCTCCAGCATCGGATCGATCGTGGCCGACGACGACGACGATGACGACGATGCTGCGTGTGATTGTCTACTTCCAGGGCCCACGGCCCGATCGCCCCCCTGTGGACCGGTGGCGGAGTCGACCCGTGTGGCGCCAACTCACCGTTCGCGAAATGGTTGTCGCCGGCGGCAGAGTCGATGGGGACCTTCTCGTACTTGCCGGGAGCCACCATCACGAACTTGAAGCGCTTGCCGCTGGGGTTGCCCTGCCAAGCGAAGGGCAGGCGGGCAAGGCGGTGAGCGAGTGGTGAGAGCGAGAAAGTGAGCGAGTGAGTAGTGAGCGAGGAGTGAGTAGCGAGTGAGTGAGTGGCGAGCGAGTTGCGAGCGAGTGAGTAGTGACTAAGTAGACAGTGAGTAGTGAGTGAGTAGTGAGTGAGTAGCGAGTGAGTGAGTAGTGAGTGAGTGAGTAGTGAGTGAGCGAGTAGTGAGTGAGTAGCGAGTGAGTGAGTAGTGAGTGAGCGAGTAGTGAGTCAGTAGCGAGTGAGTGAGTAGTGAGTGAGTGAGTAGTGAGTGAGTAGTGAGTGATCGAGTGAGTAGTGAGTGAGTGAGTAGCGAGTGAGTGAGTAGTGAGCGAGGAATGAGTAGCGAGCGAGTGGCGAACGAGTGAGTAGTGACTGAGTAGACAGTGAGTAGTGAGTGAGTAGTGAGTGAGCGAGTGAGTAGTGAGTGAGTAGCGAGCGACTGAGTAATGAGCGATTGAGTAGTGAGTGAGTAGTGAGTGATTGAGCGATTGAGCGAGTGAGCAAGTGAGCGAGTGAGTAGTGAGTGAGTAAAGAGTGAGTGAGTAGCGAGTGAGTAGTGAGTGAGTGAGCGAGTGAGTAGTGAGTGAGTGAGTAGTGAGTGAGTGAGTAGCGAGTGAGTAATGAGTAAATAGTGAGTGAGCGAGCGAGTGAGTAGTGAGTAGCAAGCGATCGAGTGGCGAGCGAGTGAGTAATGAGTCAGTTAGTGGCGAGCGAGTGAGTAATGAGCAAGTAGCGAGCGATTAGTGAGTAGTGAGTGAGTAGTGAGTGGCGAGCGATTAGTGATTGAGTAGTGAGTGAGTGAGTAGTGAGTGAGTAGCGAGTGATTAGTGATTGAGGAGTAGTGAGTGAGTAGCAAGCGATCGAGTGGCGAGCGAGTGAGTAATGAGCGATTGAGTCGAGAGTGAGTAATGAGTCAGTTAGTGGTGACTGAGTGAGTAATGAGCAAGTCGCGAGCGATTAGTGAGTAGTGAGTTAGTAGTGAGTGAGTGGCGAGCGATTAGTGATTGAGTAGTGAGTGAGTGAGTAGTGAGTGAGTAGCGAGTGATTAGTGATTGAGTAGTGAGTGAGTGAGTAGTGAGTGAGTAGTGAGTGAGTAGCGAGCGAGTAGCGAGTGAGTAGCGAGTGAGTAGCGAGTGAGTAGCGAGTGAGTAGTGAGTGAGTGAGCAGCGAGTGAGTAGTGATTGAGGAGTAGTGAGTGAGTAGCGAGTGAGTCACCTTGCTGGGAGCTGCAGCTGATTTCTCCGGTGGGCTGCCAGCGCTCGGCTTACTTTCCCAGATGCTCTTCTTCGTGGAGACATCACCCGGTCGGATGTCCTGCACACCAGCATCAACATGATCGTCATCATCGTCATCGACGTCTTCATCATCATCGACGTCTTCATTGTCGTCGACGTCTTCATCATCATCGACGTCTTCATCGTCGTCATCGTCGTCATCATCGTCGTCATCATCATCATCGTCGTCGTCATCATCATCATCATCGTCATCATCGTCGTCGTCATCATCATCGACGTCATTATCATCATCATCGAAATTGTCATCACGAGACATCAGGATCTCTGAGTCTGCGGACATTTAAAAAATGCGCCTTAAAATCTTTCATACGTTTCTACATATTAAATGTTTAGTTCATTTAGTAAATAGTTTTTAAGATGTATTTATAATATTATTGTTATGCTGATTGTCCTGCTGCTCCTGTACAGCGCTTTGAGATCCTTGATGCAAAGCGCTATACACATATAATTACTTCCATCGTCGTCATCATCGTCGTCACCGTCGTTATCACCGTTATCATCGTTACCGTCATCATTATCGTCGTTATCAACGACATCGTTATCATCAACGTCACCACCATCGTCGTCAGAGGGGCCACCGTCCCCAACATTCTCCCCATCAACGTCGTGAGTGTCACATCGTCATCACCGTCACCACCAATATCCCATTAACTGCATCTCGCAGTGCACTTTGCACGCAGTGCGTCTCCCTGCTCAAAACGAGCAGGCATTCCACGTTCTCATGGCGGTGGGGGCAAGCCCATCCATCCAATTATTATCACCGTTAAACTTCCCGCAATGTGGTGGTGGTGGTGGTGTTTATCAACCCCAGGAGGACGATTGGCCGACTCAATGTTGACCTGGTTTTGAAGTCCTCGCCCCGGTGACACAGCAAGTGCACGGTGCGCAGGCCAGTGGGTTAGTCTCACCGCACACTTTGATATGTCACCCAGCAAGCGAGGAACGTTGGGGGGCGGGGAAGGGGGGGGGTGCAAACGTCGAGCCGACGTTGCCCCAACGTTAAGCCGACGTTGGGGCAAGCTCACCGGGTCAGTCCTGGTGAGCTCGCGAAATTAAATGTAACGCAACAACTTGCGTGCCCATGCTCACCGGCGGCGCGTGTTAACTCGGCGCCAGAGTTGGGGTTTTAAGCGCGCGATTTTTGTTGTTGCTATAAACAAACAAAAGGCAAACGGAAAGGGTCAAACCCCCACTTGGGCGTTGTAGATTCTCACCTCTCGCCCGCTAAATTCTCAAATCTGACGAAAGAGAAGACACGCCGCACACACCAACAAAAGACAAAGATCCCACTCCCCCCCGCCCCCCGTTGCAGCCTTAACCGGCGTTTTGGGAAAGTGCTGTTTACGAGGAGGCACCGATGAAGGCCGGCACGGCACGCAAGTGGGTAGGTGGCCAGCACCATGTCCGTCCACCGTTGTCTATACATACGGCACTAGTACTGGCTCAGATTATCGTCACTGGTGTTGGTGGCTGACCCTGAACCAGGCCCGAGTGTTGGAGGCGGAGCCTGAACCAGGCCCGAGTGTTGGAGGCTGAGTCAGAGCCAGGCCGCGTCTCAGGGTACGGCTCAGAAAAGAGTCTCAACGCTCTTCTCTATAACCCCCATGTACGTCTCTGTACCACGACGCACTCCTCTGTGCCCCCAAGTCCCCCGTGTACCTGTCTGTACCACGGTGTACGCCTGCGGGTACCCCCCTCTCTGTACACTGTGTACCAACTCTGAACTTGCGCGTGATCCTCGGTGCCCCTTCTGTATCCCCGTGTACCACCACGCACTTCTGTGTACCCCTTGTGCACCCCTGTGTGTGTGTACCCCCGTGAGCTACGTACGGAGGGACGGGCGGCGCTCCCCTTAGCGGTTCCCTCCTCGTTCTTGTTGCTCCACTGGCTGATTCGGCTCGCGATGCCGACGTTCAAACCCGACACGTCCTGCGGGGAGACATGGGAGAAACATGAGACACACGCAGGGAGACGCGGGGATACAGGGGAGATACAGGGGACACACACAAGGACATGCGGGGACACAGGAGAGACACAGGAGATGCACATGGACACCTGGGGACACAGGGGAGGTACAGGACACACACACACGGACACACGGGGACATGGGGGGGTACAAGGGAGACACGCAGGAACACACGGGGACACACGGGGAGGTGAAGGGGATAGACACAGGGCCAGAGGGGAGGTGCAGGGGACACACAGGGACATGCGGGGACACAGGAGAGACACGGAGGAAGATGTGGGGACAGGCGGAGGCTCAGAGATGATGCGAAGGAGACGCACAAGGAAAATACGCACGGAGACCAAGGGGGGGCACATGACGACACACGGTTTACTCCGTATTCTGGCACAGGGAAATTGAGTTATCAAGTCAATACGGCGTACAGCCAATTCAATACGGGCAAAAACATTTTTGTTTGTCTATCCGTTTGTGTTTCTCCCTTGTGATGGGACTTTGTAGGATGAACGTTGAGTTTTATAAGGGGCACGGGGTGACCAATAAGGTCTAGAATTGGTCTCTAATAAGGTAGGGCACTGATAAGGCATTGACAGCTGTGCTCCTTTCACCGACTGTGCGTGACGAATGAATGGACGGTCTAATTAAATTAAACTAAAACGTGGAACGTCAACGAAAGCATTTCCAGAAGAAAATCGAATAATTCAAACCGCATTTTAAGTAAGTTTTTGTGTCTTCTTCTACACCCGTTGTTGAAAACAAATCTCACGGTGGTTGTCAAGGAAGGGGGCCCCCCCCTCCGAACTCGTAGCTTTGAGGGGGTGTCAAGGCACCCCCTCCACCCCCCCCCCCGCCCCCCCGCGCACGTCAGGTGACCACGGAGGGCCATACCCGGGTGGGGTTGCCACGTGGCGAGGTTGGAGAGGCCACGTCGCCGCGCTCGAAGAGGCTCTTCCTGAGCGCCACGCTGTCCGCCGGCAGGGGAACCTCCACCGCCAGCGGGCGCACCACCCTGCCGGAGCCTCGCACTGCACTCTGCTGCACCGCGCAACGGAGCACGCGCACACAGACACACAGACACACAGACACACAGACACACAGACGCACAGACACACAGACACACAGACACACAGACACACAGACACACAGACACACAGACGCACAGACGCACAGACACACAGACGCACAGGTGCTTCCATGTAGCCCACAGACCCGTAGACTCACACAGAGATCCATAGACTCACACAGAGACCTGTAGATTCACACAGAGACCCATAGACTCACAGAGAGACCCGTAGACTCACACAGAGACCCGTAGATTCACACAGAGACCCGTAGACTCACACAGAGACCTGTAGACTCGCAAAGAGACCCATAGACTCAAACAGAGACCCATAGAATCACGCAGAGACCCATAGACTCACAGAGAACCATAGACTCGCACAGAGACCCCTAGACTCACAGAGAGACCCATAGACTCGCACAGAGACCCATAGACTCGCACAGAGACCCATAGACTCACACAGAGACCAATAGACTCGCACAGAGACCCATAGACTCGCACAGAGACCCATAGACTCACACAGAGACCCACAGACTCACACAGAGACCCGTAGACTCACACAGAGACCCATAGACTCACACAGAGACCCGTAGACTCACAGAGAGACCTGTCAACTCACACAGAGACCCATAGACTCACAGAGAAACATATACTCGCGCAGAGACCCATAGACTCACAGAGAACCATAGACTCGCACAGAAACCCATAGACTCGCAAAGAGACCCATAGACTCATACAGAGACCCATAGACTCACACAGAGACCCATAGACTCACACAGAGACCCATAGACTTGCACAGAGACCCAAAGACTCGCACAGAGACCCGTAGACTCACACAGAGACCCATAGATTCACAGAGAGATCCATAGACTCGCGCAGAGACCCATAGACTCACAGAGAGATCCATAGACTCGCGCAGAAACCCATAGACTTACACAGAGACCCACAGACTCACACAGAGACCCATAGACTCGCACAGAGACCCATAGACTCGCAAAGAGACCCATAGACTCCCACAGAGACCCATAGACTCACACAGAGACCCATAGACTCACAGAGAACCATAGACTCACAGAGACCCGTAGACTCGCACAGAGATCTCTAACGAATGTAGAATGATCATCATAATCACAGTAGCGATGACTCACCACTCCGCTCCGGGCAATCTTGCGCAGCCCTCCGGCAATACACAAGTGTGAAAACACCCCCGACGTCACCGTGCCATCAAACCCAACAATGGTTTCAAACGTGTGGCGGCCCTCACACTGACGATGTGTTATGCGCCCCCCCCCCCCCCCGCCATGAAAATAAGTGAAGAACGCCCCTCCAGATCGACGTCGTCAGGCGGAACGAAGGAGGCAGCAGCAGTTGGAGGAGGAGGGAGGAGGAGGGGGGATGAGGGGGGAGGGAGGGGGGAGGGAGGGAGGAGGAGGGAGGAGGAGGAAGGAGGGGGGGAGGAGGGGGGAGGAGGGAGGAAGGGGGAGGGAGCAGGAGGGGGGAGGAGGGGGGAAGAGGGGGGAGGAGGGGGGAAGAGGGGAGAGGGAGGGGGGAGTGAGGGAGGGAGAGAGGGGGGAGGAGGGAGGGGGGAGGTGGGGGAGGAAGGAGGAAGGGGGAGGAAGAGGGGGAAGGAGGGAGGAGGAGGGAGGAGGAGGGGGGAAGAGGGGGGAGGGAGGAAGGGGGAGGGAGCAGGAGGGGGGAGGAGGGGGGAAGAGGGGGGAGGGAGGGGGGAGGGAGGGAGGGAGGGAGGGGGGAGGAGGGAGGGGGGGGAGGAAGGGGGAGGAGGAGGACGAAGAGCAATAAAAACAAGAAGAATGAGAAAAAGAGAAAGGAGGACTGCGCTTTGTGGAGCTGTGGACACGGGGCGATCTCTGGCGTCAGGGGCCGCTCACCTCGACGGCGCTCGTGTACAGCTTGGTGTCGATCTTCGCTATCGGCCGTGGCGACTTGAGGCTGTAGCTGTGGACAGGAGTTGCAACGCCGTTAGGCCCTCCCGTCGTTCATCCGAGCTCGTCATCACCGATCGTCGTCGGCGGTGCAGGCATTTTGTCGTTGCCTCTGCCCCCCCCCCCCCCCCACCACAGCGTGGCCCTGGCATGGCCCCAGTACAGCTCGGTTGTGCAGTAGCGCAAGGGGGGGGGGGGGGGCAATGTGTGCGAGACGACGACGAGGGGGTCGAGGGGGGGGTCACATCACTCACCTCCGCTGCACCGTTTTGTTCAGGAACTCGGATCGGTCGCTGATCTGCAAAAGCGCAACACGCAAACTCCACGTCACTAGGGCTCGCATCCGAGGGCCACTGCCCCACCACTCTCCCCACCCTCCCCCCACCCTCCTCCCCCGCCTCCCACCCCTCTGTGGTTATTCTGCAGGCACTCAGTGTCAAGATGTTAACTACCTCGCCTGGTGTACAGGAGGTCGTGGGTGCGATCCCGACCCTGATGCCTGCTGCTGTATTTTTGGAGTTTGCGTCTCTCATCATCATCACGGTGGCTAGGAGATGTTAACTACCTTACCTGTTGTACAGGAGGTCGTGAGTTCGATTCCGACCCTGACGCCTGCTGCTGTATATATGGAGTTTGCGTCTCTCATCGTCATCACGGTGGCTAGGAGATGTTAACTACCTTACCTGTTGTACAGGAGGTCGTGGGTTCGATTCCGACCCTGACGCCTGCTGCTGTATATTTGGAGATTGAGTGTCTCTCATCATCATCACGGTGGCTAGGAGATGTTAACTACCTCGCCTGGTGTACAGGAGTTCGTGGGTTCGATCCTGACCCTGACGCCTGCTGTATAATGGATCTTGCGTGTCTCTCTCCCCGTGGATATATATTCGGGCCCTCCAGGTTTTCCCTCCAGATTCAGAATCGACGTCGCGAGTTTATTTGGGTGCTGCTATAAATGTCCACGTGATGGTGATGATGATAATGAGCCCACTCTATTGACATATCATTTGTGATATCCAGAGCTACACAGCTCAGCGGGGTCTTACCTGGTAAAATAAAAAATAAAAATTGTTTCATGAAAGTTACGTCTTTCATGAAACACGGAACCCTAGTTCCGTGTCTCTCTCCGCAGAGAGCAAATCTAACCGCTGTGCGAGGATCAACTTTTATATGTTTGTGGCTGCAGACCCGGAAGGAGGATGTTCTTCCATTAGACGGGTTTGCTGGACGATGTCATGGGACGTGAGTCGGTGGATAATCGCACGCTCACGCATGCAGGCATGCATGCACGCGCAACTCTAACACACGTGCGGCAACTCCGCCAGAGGAGCGATGCAAGGTCAGGGGTCAAACTACACGAGAGCGAGGTCAGAAGTCAAACTGCGAGAGCGAGGTCAGGGGTCAAACTGCGAGAGCGAGGTCAGGGGTCAAACTATGAGAGCAAGGCCAGGGGTCAAACTGCGAGAGCGAGGTCAGGGGTCAAACTACACGAGAGCGAGGTCAGGGGTCAAACTGCGAGAGCGAGATCAGGGGTCAAACTGTGCGAGCGAGGTCAGGGGTCAAACTGTGCGAGGTCAGGGGTCAAACTGCGAGCGAGGTCAGGGGTCAAACTGCGCGAGCGAGGTCAGGGGTCAAACTGCACGAGTGAGGTCAGGGGTCAAACTGCGCGAGCGAGGGCTTCACGGGAGAGAGGAATGTGCATGTACATAGCGGCCTCTAGCGGCCGCAGCAGCGTAGTCAACGGGTCAACCCCGCACATTTAAAAGGGGTGCAAGAGATCGTCGCGATCGCCAAGGTAAGAGCTGGAATACCGAACGGCGATTCGACGGCGGTGCAGCCCCCGCTCGTGGGCAGTTAGTTGGGGCATGGGGGGGGGGGGGTTGCGGGGGAGAGGGTGGGGGGTGGGAATGAGTTAAAGACGTCGGAACGATGGGGGGCACACACACGGTGGACACGACCCGAGACCAGGTTTCCCTTCCACTCTGCCGTTCCGTTTCGCATCCCCCCCGGGGCAAGGCCGTTTTCAAGAACGCACGCCGCACTTGCTGGGATTCGGACGCCGTGAAGCGGGCGGTGAGGGGCGCCGTGGTGGCTACGAGATGTTAACTACCTCGCCTGGTCTACAGGAGGTCACGGGTTCAATCCCGACCCTGACGCCTGCTGCTGTATATTTGGAGTTTGCGTCTCTCATCATCATCACGGTGGCTATGAGATATTCTTAGGTGTTTTCGGTAAAGTCACGTAGGTAAAACATTAAAATTAATAAAAGTAAAATAAAATAAAAATCACGACGTTTCGGAGGCAACACAAGTCTCAGTCATCAGGTGGGACCGTCACAGCCAGATTTGCTGCATCAAGTGAGGCAATGATTCAAGATGTAATCCCTTAAAAGCAAGTTGAGGGGGGAGGAGAGGGGGGGGGGAGCTCATCAGAATGTGGTAGCCAATGAATGAAACGTATCGGGAGGGAGGGGGGCAACTTGCTTTTAAGGGATTACATCTTGAATCCCTGCCTCACTTGATGCAGCAAATCTGGCTGTGACGGTCCCACCTGATGACGGAGACTTGTGTTGCCTCCGAAACGTCGTGATTTTTATTTTATTTTACTTTTATTAATTTTAATGTTTTACCTACGTGACTTTACCGAAAACACCTAAGAATATGAATCCTTGCAGTCACGAAAGCTTCAAATCTGGCTATGAGATGTTAACTACCTCACCTGGTGTGCAGGAGGTCGTGGGTTCGATCCTCACCCCGACGCCTGCTACTGAATATTTGGAGTTTGCGGTGTCTCTCTCTCTCTCCCCATGGTCACGTGGAATTTTCTCCGGGTCCTCCGGTTTTTTTTCGCCTCCGCGTTTACAATAGACGTTTAGAGTATCTGTCTGACGTCAATTTCCACGCGACGACGACGACGATGTTCATGAGCCCACTGCGTTGAGCTATCATTTGTGATGGACAGCATTGAGCTACGTTGCTCAGTGGGGCCTTACCTGGTAAAATATTACAATTTTAGTTTAATAAAAAACCAGCCCGCCAACCCCCGGGGGCTCGGACCGCGAGCCTCCGCAAGGAGCGCCCCCGGCAGCAGGGAAACAAGCCGCAGGCTGCAACAAAAACGCAGCCGGCGTGTGCCCCCCAATGTTCCGAGCGGGTTAGTACTAGCAGCCAGACGCTGTGCCGGGAGATGGAGCAGCCACGCACGTGCGCGCGCACACAGACAAACAGACAGGATTAAGGTGTCAAAACCAGAGACCGCCACGGGGGAATTTCAACTCACCGCCACCAAAGCCTCGGGCTCTCCCAGCTCCTCAAGATCGGTGCCCTGAGAGAGAAGAGGAATAGCCACACACAGAGAGAGAGAGAGAGAAAGAGAGAGAGAGGCAAAACAGCGACCAAAAGAAAACCACCCGATTACACCTGGCGCGACAATCACGTCGCTGTACCCGGCCCAAGCCACACGCTCAGACAGCGACAGAGCAGAGGGGGGGGGGGTGCAGTTAGATAAGAGGATGGGGAACGTGGGGGGGGGGGGGGGGGTGTGGCAGGGGTGGTGGTGGTACCACTCGGGTTGCCACCTGTTCTTGGGTTTTCCCGGGAACTTCCGCTTGTTGAGCAAGGCAGCTGGCTGCTGCTGCTGCTGCGGCAGCTGTACCGGGGTAAAAATTTAATCTCTTCAAGTCTTCGCGGGAACAGTTGTGGGAATAATAATGATGATGACGATGACGATGCACATTCAAGACGTAGTTCTGCCCTGCCCTTCTAACTTCCTGGATTTCATTCCCAACTTCCCGGATTTCATTCCCAAACTTCCTGGATTTCATTCCCAACTTCCCGGATTTCATTCCCAACTTCCTGGATTTCATTCCCAACTTCCTGGATTTCATTCCCAAACTTCCTGGATTTCATTCCAAACTTCCTGGATTTCATTCCAAACTTCCTGGATTTCATTCCAAACTTCCTGGATTTCATTCCCAAATTCCTGGATTTCATTCCAAACTTCCTGGATTTCATTCCAAACTTCCTGGATTTCATTCCCAAATTCCTGGATTTCATTCCAAACTTCCTGGATTTCATTCCAAACTTTCTCGATTTCATTCCGACTTCCCGGATTTCCTTCTAATCCTTGGCAAGCTGGTTTAATCATAGCCCAGTCTATGTAAGTCTACGGGGTCCTTATACAGGTAAATAGGTCCTCTGTGTGAGTCTATGGGTGTCTTCATGACTGTATAGGTCTCGAGTTTACAGTTTTCGACGCAAGTCTTTGAGTCTCTTTGTAAGTCTATGGGGTTCTATACAGGTCACTGGTGACCGAGCTGATACCAGCATTTCGATTTAAAGCTTTCGTGACTGCAGGGATTCATCTTTGTCAAGGCGCCCTTCCTCCCCTAACCCAGTTTAAATATACGCTGCCAAGCTTGGTGGTGTTCATTCAGACGCTGTCTTTCCGACAGACCTGTTCTTCACCTGAGGATGGCTGCTTGCGTTGTGGCCGAAACGTCGTGAGAATTGTATTTTATTGTGTTTAATTTTTATTATTTTATTATTTCCATTCTACATGACTTTACCGAAAGAACCAAGAAGCTGATACCATCAATTCGCTACAATCGAGAACCCGGTTTAATTACAGGCAGCGGTTTCAAACCCGGACTCGAACCCAGGCTCTCAGGCAGTGCCGGCTCTTAGAGCCACGCTTCAAGAAAACAGAATTTAGTTTTTAAATCCTTTATATTAAGTTCACTTGCTTGCGCGCTTACGACCGTGCAAATCTTTCGGTCGTTTTTTAACCCACTTCCCGTGATCCAATCGAGCTGACATTTGCACACAGACTCGTTGTGCGTGACAATTTATTTTCGTGAAAATTTTTTTCCAAAATTTTACACTTTTTAGGAAAAAATAAATTATATTTAATTACCAATTGCTTAATGGTGGCAGGCAATCATCTGACCCATAGGTGGCAGCCATCTCAAGCCAGAGGACGAGAGGACTCTAGCCGCCACGCATATAAAGGATTTATAGTGAAAAACTTTGTTTTTACGGGTTAATTTTTCACATCTCATTCCGACCATGTCTCGTTTGCGCCCTCTGTCTCTCGTTCCTTCCGCTCGATTTGCTCCCGCTCGTCACCCCCAGTGATGGAGCTGGAGCTCTACTCGTCAGATGGATTCCGACGATAATTCCCATCAAGCTCCGGGCCGATCGACGAGTTTAAGGCGCGCAGGAACTCAGCTGAAGCGGAACATCTCCGCCTGCCTCGGGGAGCCTCCGCACACACCAGGGAGGATCTTTATGTCCCCCCCCCGCCCCCCCCGGCATCCGAAGGCAACGAGAAAGATTCGAAGGCAAATCAGGAGGCGGCAGCAGGCAACTGGAAGGGGGCAGGAACACCAAAGCGCGACCCGGAAGGTACCAAGAGATGCGTAGGGAAAGCAGGAGGAAATGGGCATCACAGCGGCCAGGAGATGTTGACTACCTCGCCTGGTATGCAGGAGGTCGTGGGTTCGATGCCGACCCTGACGCCTGCTGCTATATATTTGGAGTTTGCGTGTCTCTCTCTCTCTCTCATCATCATCACGGTGGCGAGGAGATGTTGACTACCTCGCCTGGGATGCAGGTGGTCGTGGGTTCGATCCCGACCCTGACGCCAGCTGCTGTATATTTGGAGTTTGCGTGTCTCTCTCTCTCTCTCATCATCATCACGGTGGCGAGGAGATGTTGACTACCTCGCCTGGGATGCAGGTGGTCGTGGGTTCGATGCCGACCCTGACGCCCGCTGTATAATTGGAGTTTGCGTCTCTCTCTCTCTTCCCGTGGTCACGTGGATTTTTCTCCGGGTCCGTCCGGTTTTCCCCCTCACGCGTTTTAGAGTATTCGGCTGCTACGATAAATTTCCACGCGACGACGACGACGATGATGATGACGATGACGATGATGACGACGACGATGATGATGACAATGATGACGACGACGACGACGACGATGATGACGATGATGACGACGATGATGACGACGACGACGATGACGACGATGAGCCACTTTGCGTCGAGCTATCCATTTACGATGGCCAAGTCGCTTCTGAAAACGAGAGCTACGTAGCTCAGTGCATCCTTACCTGCTAAGAGCATGCAACACAAAACGTAAAAACGCAATTGAAATAAAAACCAGCTAACACGAGGGCGCGGGGAAAACTCCGTCACCTTGCGGCTGGGCGTACGGAAGCTGCGCGTGACCCCGTGACCCCGCGAGGCGAATCCGCCGGGTGGTTCCTCCTCCTCCTCCTCCTCGTTGTCGAACGACGCGGAGCGGCGGGCGGAGCGAGCGCTCGGCTTGTCCGCCCCCTCGGAGCGCTCGGAGCGCTCGGAGGCTCCGGCCTTCAGGGAGCTCCGGCTCCAGACGCTGGGCGGCGATGAAGATGGCAACAGCAGCAGCAGCAGCAACAAAAATGGTTGAGAGGAGAATTGACGGGGCGCGCCGCGGCGTTGAACGGCATTGAGTCGCGCGTGTGACAGCCACTTCGCAATCCATGCCACCCGCCCACCAACCACCCGCCTGCCTGCCCACCCACCCCCCCACCATACCCACTCACCCACCCACTCACCCTACCCACTCACCAACCAATCAACCGACCAATCCACTCACCAACTCACCAACCCACTCACCAACTCACCAACCAACTCACCAACTCACCAACCCACCAACTCACCCACCCACTCACCCATCCTCTCACCCATCAACCCACTCACCCTACCCACTCACCAACCAATCAACCGACCAATCCACTCACCAACCCACCAACTCACCAACCCACTAACCAACTCGCCAACTCGCCAACTCACCAACCCACCAACCCACCAACTCACCCACCCACTCACCCATCCTCTCACCCACCAACCCACTCACCCATCCACCCACTCACCCATCCACCCACCCACATCACCAACCTGTGCGTCGATCAGAGCCTGGTGAGTGAAACTCCCCCCGAGTGTGGGAGACGAGCTCACGGCGGCGGAGGGAGGTGGGGGGGGGGGGGGGTGAGCGGGCGACACCGACGACCATACCTGGTGCCGCCCTCCGGCGTGATAGGGCTCAGCGTCACGCTCGCCACGCTCGCCCGCTCCGTCCGCTCCGTCCGCTCCGTCCGCTCCGTCCGCTCCGTCCGCTCCGTCCGCTCCGTCCGCTCCACCCGCTCCACCCGTTCCATCCGCTCCACGCCGCTGGTGTCGTCGTGCGAGACGCTGCTGCTGCTGCTGCCACCTTTACCTCCTCCTCCTCGCGCGCTCCCCGAGCTGCTGCCCAAGCGACCCGCGGACCGCTGCCCTGTCCCTCCTCGCTGTGACATCACGACGGCCGAGAGGGTGGGGGTCGGGGGGTGGGTGTAGGCGGGGGAAAGCGGGGCGCAGGGCAAGGTGCGGAGGGAACGGAGGCACAGGGCAGAGGGCAAGGGGCAGAGGGCAAGGGGCAGAGGGCAGGGGGCAGAGGGCAGGGGGCAAGGGGCAGAGAGTAGGGGACAGAAGGCACGGGGCAGAGGGCAAGGGGCAGAGGGCAAGGGGCAGAGGGCAAGGGTCAGAGGGCAGGGGGCAGAGGGCAAGGGTTAGAGGGCAAGGGGCAGGGGGCAGTGGGCAGGGTAGAAACAAGGTACAGGTGTGAGGCAGAGCTTCATTTCTCACTCGATATTTTTCTGACAAGCTGCTCAGGCTGGCTTGGAGTCCCCGAGGGATCATATCGGCGTAAGGCACTACCACCACCACCACCACCATACCGCTGTACCCGCTACCATTGCAATAAATCCTGCCGAGGACACAGCGTGCCTCGTGAGGATGAAACGGAATGCGGCTGGACGTGCCAGTAGCGTTCCCGGAATGGTGATCCGGACCTGTTTACGGCTGAAATCGAGCGCTGGTTCAGAGGTCGGACGAAGGTGAGATCAGGTGAGCTCAGGTGTGCCGCCGGAGAGGTCCGCGAGGAAAAGCCAGGGGAGCGGTGGTGCAGCGGTTAGCGCTACGCTGCGATACGAACCCGGCGACCCGGGTTCGATTCCCGCTCACGGCCAACACCGGTGACGATTATCTGAACCGGTCCTGGTCCTCCCCTAGGTCGACTCGGCCTCAAACGAGTACCTGGTGCTGTGTGTAAACATCGCCACTGGGGAGACAAAGGCGGCCGGGCGTGGTGCTGGCCACCCGCTCCCTCGTGTGCCGTGCCGGCCTTCATAGGTGCTTGCTAACAGCACTTAGCCCCAACAGTATGTTGAGGCTATACGGGGGAGCTTTGTCTTTGCACGTATTTTGTGTGCGGACGCTCTGCTGAACCTGGAACATGCTACCAACAGATGGGGCCTTTTCGATGTAAAGCTTTCGTGACTGCAGGGATTCATCTTCTTGGTTCTTTCGGTAAAGTCATGTAGAAGGGAAGTAATAAAATAATAAAAATAAAACATAATAAAATAATTCTCACGACGTTTCAGCCACAATGCAAGCAGTTTCATTCTTCACCTGAGGACGGCTGCTTGCGTTGTGGCCGAAACGTCGTGAGAATTATTTTATTATGTTTTATTTTTATTATTTTATTACTTCCCTTCTACGTGACTTTACCGAAAGAACCAAGAAGATGGGGCCTTACCATCAGCCCCACAGAATCAAAGCACCTGCCTGGGTATTTTACGTCATCAGATGTTCCGCTCCCTCGGCTGCACGTGAGTGATGGGGCAGTTGCGGACACAGTGGAGACGTTTACATGCTTGGGCAGTGTGCTCATGACCAGCTCTGGTTTTGCAGCCGAGGTATCACGCCGAGTCAGTCGAGTGGCCTTATCTTTTCATCTGCTGCGTAACGCTGCGTGCAAGCTATGCGGCTGAGTCATGTAGCCCGCATGCCCAGCCACGGCATGCCCAAAGCAGCTTCTGTTTGGCCGGATAGCCTGAGCTAAACGGGTGCGGCGCGGGCTGGAGAAGAGATGGACAGATGCGGTTGTGGAGGATGCCAACACAGCCGCTGACTGGTACCAGCGGTGTCAAGATCGGCCTCTATGGAGGAGGTTCGTGAAGGACGCTGCTACTGGGCGGTTGGAGGCAGTCGACCCTCCAACAACAACGGAGGGCGGAGGAGCGACGCTCACAACAACGAGCGGAGCGCTGGGCAGCTAAAACAGCGAGTTGGCACAGTAGGGGGCATAGGTGGTGCATCTTTCAGTTTTTTTATTGTTTGTGTACGGAACTGGGTAATTGATGTGCACCATTGCGGGATGCAATTGCATGCATGGCGCTAGTCAAACAAAATTATTGTTATTATCTCAGCCAACCCATGGGTCTGTCCCGTGAGTGACCTCTTGTTGGCGAGCCTTGGACACTTCACATCGCCTCTGAGTGCACCAGGCCTGGCACAAGCACCGTGGTGACCATCACCGCCACTCACGGGCCAATGGCGGCTCTCGTTGTCGTTGTGTGAGTGTCCGTGCGTGCGCATGAGTGTCCGTGCGTGCGTTTGAGCGCGCGCGCGAGTCCATGTGTGCGAGCGAGTGTGAGTCCGTGTGTGCGAGCGAGTGTGAGTCCGTGTGTGCGAGCGAGTGTGAGTCCGTGTGTGCGAGCGAGCGAGCGAGCGAGCGTGCGTGCGCAAATGCAGCCAGGGTACAATGAACTGGAGAAGTTTAGACTGCACCTGTTCAAACACCGCGGGACAACGCCGCACGCACGCACGCACACGCACACACGCACACGCGCGGTCAGACAGGAGGACAGAGGACACGCAGACAGAACAAGCCCCCCCACCTCTCTCCCCCCAACCCCCCACCACCATCACCCCCCCCCACCCCATTACCTCCACGAGCCGCGGTTCCTGGAAAAAGTCAAACGACTCGAAGGGGGAGGGGCGGCTGCGGCTGGGGGGGGGTGGGAGAGAAGTTTTTCTACCCACGTGACTTTACCGACAGAACCAAACGGTAATTTACGAAATGTGTCGTAAAAAAAAACAGGTCGCATCTCACCGGCAAGTCACCTGCGGCTGTCAACTTGTCATCTCGGCCTTCGTCGCCCACCGAGAACTTCTCCACACCGGCCCCTCTCCCTTTCCACTCCTCGGCCTTCTCGTGCTCGGCATCGTCCCCCCACTCCTTCCTCTCCTTCCGCTTCTTCCCCTCCGCCTCCTCCTCCTTCTCCTCCTTCTCCCGCTCTTCCCTCTCCCTCTGCTCCCTCTCCTTCTGCTTCTTTCTCTCCGCCTCCTCCTTCTCCTCCCTCTCCCGCTCCTCCCTCTCCTCCCTCTCCTTCCTCTCTTTCTGCTTCTTTCTCTCTGCCTCCGCCTTCTCCTCCTCCTTCTCCCGCTCTTCCCTCTCCCTCTGCTTCCTCTCCTTTTTCTTCTTTCTCTCCGCCTCCTCCTTCTCCTCCCTCTCCCGCTCCTCCCTCTCCTCCCTCTCCTTTCTCTCCTTCTGCTTCTTTCTCTCCACCTCCTCCTTCTCCCGCTCCTCCCTCTCCCGCTCCTCCCTCTCCTTCCTCTCCCTCTCCCTCCTCTTCTTCCTCTCTGCCTCCTCCTTCTCCTCCTTCTCCTCCCTCTCCCGCTCCTCCTTCTTCCGCTCTTCGCGCTGCCCCACGGCCCGGGTGGCGCCCGACGTCGAGGTGGAAGAGGTGGGGGAGGTGGCTCCTCCCGCCGGCGCCACATCTTCGCCGGCGCCGTCGTCGCGCGTCTCACGCTCGCGCCGCCTGCGCTCGGAGAAGCCCTCGTCGTCGTCGTCGTCTTCATCGGTGTTCCGCCCTTTGACCCCGGCAGCGATCGGAGTCGAAGGCTTCACGGCCTGGGATCTGGAACGATGCGAGAGGGACAGCGGTTGAGGTTGTAGAGAAGCATCTGGTCGTTGGCAGGGACCCTCAACCCGTGGCATTTCAACAGTGGCATTTAACTGTGGCATTTTAACCGTGGCATTTTAACCATGGCATTTTAACCGTGGCATTTTAACCGTGGCATTTTAACCGTGGCATTTTAACCGTGGCATTTTAACCGTGGCATTTTAACCGTGGCATTTTAACCGTGGCATTTTAACCATGGCATTTTAACCGTGGCATTTTAACCGTGGCATTTTAACCGTGGCATTTTAACCGTGGCATTTTAACCGTGGCATTTTAACCTGTGGCATTTTAACCGTGGCATTTTAACCGTGGCATTTTAACCGTGGCATTTTACCCGTGGCATTTTACCCGTGGCATTTCAACCGTGGCATTTTACCCGTGGCATTTTAACCGTGGCATTTTAACCGTGGCATTTTAACCGTGGCATTTTAACCGTGGCATTTTAACCGTGGCATTTTAACCATGGCATTTTAACCGTGGCATTTTACCCGTGGCATTTTACCCGTGGCATTTCAACCGTGGCATTTTACCCGTGGCATTTTAACCGTGGCATTTTAACCGTGGCATTTTAACCGTGGCATTTTAACCGTGGCATTTTAACCGTGGCATTTTAACCGTGGCATTTTAACCGTGGCATTTTAACCGTGGCATTTTACCCGTGGCATTTTACCCGTGGCATTTCAACCGTGGCATTTTACCCGTGGCATTTTAACCGTGGCATTTTAACCGTGGCATTTTAACCGTGGCATTTTAACCGTGGCATTTTAACCGTGGCATTTTAACCGTGGCATTTTAACCGTGGCATTTTACCCGTGGCATTTTACCCGTGGCATTTCAACCGTGGCATTTTACCCGTGGCATTTTAACCGTGGCATTTTAACTGTGGCATTTTAACCGTGGCATTTTAACCGTGGCATTTTAACCGTGGCATTTTAACCGTGGCATTTTAACCGTGGCATTTCAACCGTGGCATTTTACCCATGGCATTTCAACCGTGGCATTTCTACAGTGGCATTTCTAGTGGCATTTCAAGCATGGCATTTTACCTGTGGCATTTTACCTGTGGCATTTCAACCGTGGTACTTTTACCTGTGGCATTTCAACAGTGGCAGTTCAACCGTGGCATTTCAGCAGTGGCATTTTACCCTTGGAATTTCAACCATGCTATTTTACCCATGGAATTTCAATCACGGCATTTCAAACGTGGAATTTCAACCGCGGCATTTCAAGGGCGTATTAGAATTGAGATGAATAATAATGAAAATCATCTTTGTATCCATGTGAAACACTGCTATAAGCCAGCAACAATTAGAATAAAACTTTCGGTAAAAATGTGTTTATTTAGGAATATACTAGCACTGCCCGTGCATTTTGCACGGAATCCACCACCAGGGTGGAGCGTGGGTGCGGTGACAGGGGGACGGTGGTAGAGGCATGACATCAACGCAGCTCTGCCATCGCTCACACTCTGCGGAAAACAGCGGGAGATCACGAAGAGCCCACTCAGAAATGGCGCCCGCTCCGGGCATCGAACCATTTGGAGTTTGCGTCTCACATCATCATCACAGTGGCTAGTAGATTTCAATTTAAAGCTTTCGTGACTGCAGGGATTTATCTTCTTGGTTCTTTCGGTAAAGTCACGTAGAATGGAAATAATAAAATAATAAAAATAAAACATAATAAAATAATTCTCACGACGTTTCGGCCACAACGCAAGCAGCCGTCCTCAGGTTTCGGCCTTTCTGACAGACCTGTTCTTCACCTGAGGACGGCTGCTTGCGTTGTGGCCGAAACGTCGTGAGAATTATTTTATTATGTTATATTTTTATTATTTTATTATTTCCATTCTACGTGACTTTACCGAAAGAACCAAGAAGATGGCTAGTAGATGTTAACTACCTCGCCTGGTGTACAGGAGGTCGTGAGTTCGATCCCAACCCTGACGCCTGCTGCTGTATATTTGGAGTCTGCGTGTTCTCCCCATAGTCGCGTGGATTTTTCTCTGGGTCCTTCAGTTTTCCCCTCCGCATTCAGAATAAAAAGGTGCGTTTTGAGTATTTGGCTGCTATACATTTCCACACGATGATAAGCCACTTTGTTGAGCTATCTTTGGAGGCCAGGTCGCTTCTGAAAAAAAAAACTACACAGCTCATTGGGCCTTACCCGGGATGACAAAAATATTTTCGGGGAAGCCGTCATCCAGCAGTGCTGATGGTGATAGATAAATCAGGGGAGGAGGGGTGGGGGGGGAGTGAAGTTCCCGGGTTATTCTGCACAGGAAACGAACGGCGTCCCTCGCCGCTCGTAAATTTAATTTGCGAAAGTTTGGGCTGCGGAGGGCTTTTTTGGTCGTTGTGGCAACGCTCACACTCACACTCACGCATGCTCACACACACGCTCACACTCACGCATACTCACACACACGCTCACACTCACTCACGCTCACACTCACGCTCACACTCGCGCTCACACTCGCGCGCACACTCACGCGCTCACTCACGCGCTCACTCACGCGCTCACTCACGCGCTCACTCACGCGCTCACTCACGCGCTCACTCACGCGCTCACTCACGCGCTCACTCACGCGCTCACTCACGCGCTCACTCACTCGCGCGCTCACACTCACACTCACGCATGTTCACACACGCTCACGCGCGCTCACACTCACGCGCGCTCACACTCACGCGCGCTCACACTCACGCTCACACTCACGCTCACACTCAGACTTTTGGGGCGAGTGCTGTTAGCGAGCACCTATGAATGGTACACATTTGAGGCCGAGTCGACCTAGGGGAGGCCCAGGACCGGTTGAGATAATCGTCACCGGTGTTGGCCACAAGCAGGAATCGAACTCGGGTCGCCGGGTTTGCAGCGCAAAACGCTAACCGCTGGGCCACCCCTCCCCCCCCCTACAAAGATGAACATCAATTCAAATACAGCCGCCGTTCGTCACTAAGTGCCAGGCCAGGTGCACTTTGAGCCTATCACGTGAAGTGTCAAAGGCTCGCTGACGGGAGGTCTCGGGACAGACCCCGGTGCCATGGGTGGGCTGGCTGAGATGACAAAGCTCCCCCGTGTAGCCTGTAACAGACTGTCGGGGCAAGTGCTGTTAGCGAGCGGCAGCACCCTATGAAGGCCGGCACGGTGGCGCACGAGGGGGTGGGTGGCCAGCACCACGCCCGGCCGCCTTTGTCTGCCCAGTGGCGACGTTTACACACGGCAACCCAGGTACTCATTTGAGACTGAGTTGACCTAGAGGGAGGGGCCCAGGACCGGTTCAGATAATCCATAACGGGTGTTGGCCGCGAGCGGGAATCTAACTCAGGCCGCCGGGTTCGTAGCGCCGCGTGCTAACCGCTGCACCACCGCTCCCCATGAAGACAAACAAAGACCCCCCTCACCCCCCATGGCCTGAACAGACCTTATTCTTAGGTTTTTTCGGTAAAGTCACGTAGGTAAAAAATTAAAATTAATAAAAGTAAAATAAAATAAAATAAAAATCACGACGTTTCGGTGGCAACACAAGCTTCCGTCTTCAGGTGGAACCGTCACAGCACGATAGCTGTATCAAGTGAGGATTTTTATTTTTATTTTACTTTTATTAATTTAAATTTTTTACCTACGTGACTTTACCGAAAAAAACTAAGAAAATGAATCCTTGCAGTCACGAAAGCTTCAAATCTAGAACTGAACAGACCTGTCGGCGAGTCCCTATAAAGACAAACGCACGAAACACGAACAACGTTATCCCGCGTCATCCTTAATGAGTAACTCAAACGGAATCCCATCTACGGGTTGGTGTGGGTGGGGGGCGGAGGTTGGAGGTTGGTTGGTTTTTTTTGTTCCTGGTCCCAGGGCCAAGCTTTGGACCTTGCCGAGGTTTTCAATTACCGTGTACAGTGTACAGTACAAAGCGTGGCTTTGTTGTGGTGCAGCGGATTCTTCACAAAGGGGTTTGGGAGTAACATTCACGGCAGGGGGGGGCAAGGGGGGGGGGGCAGGGGGGGGGGGCAGGGGAGGGGGCAGCTCGGTGGGGGGGGGCACGGGGCATCGGAGCTGCGACCCCCGCGGAATGGCGAGTCGGTGTTAGTTCGTGGGTCCATGATTAGTCTACGGATCCAGCATTATTCCATAATTAGTCTACGGGCCCAGCGTCAGTGTATGGGTCTCGTGTTAGCAAAACCGGAGGACCCGGAGAAAAATCCACGTGACCACGGGGAGAGAGAGAGACAGAGAGAGCGTGAGACACGCAAACTTCCAAGCATACAGCAGCAGGCGTCAGGGTCGGGATCGAACCAACGACCTCCTGCGTACCGGGCGAGGCAGCTAACATCTCCTAGCCACAGCGGTGATGATGATGAGAGACGCAAATTCCAAATATACAGCAGCAGGCGTCAGGGTCGGGATCGAACCAACGACCTCCTGCATACCAGGCGAGGTAGTCAACATCTCCTAGCCACCGCGGTGATGATGACGAGAGACGCAAACTCCAAATATACAGCAGGAGGCGTCAGGGTCGGGATCGAACCAACGACCTCCTGCATAACAGGCGAGGCAGCTAACATCTCTTCGCCACCGCGGCGGCAAAATTCACGCTCGTCGTGAATGCGGACCCTGCGATCTCGGCGGTGACGGATCCTGCGGCTGGTGACGACGTGGCCATTACCAGTCCCACGACCGAGAGGGGGGGGGGGGGAGAGAGATGCCCGGGCCCCAGGGCTTGAGGCCCCCTGAACTGCGGTAACAACAAAAAAAACCGTCGAGCGACGACGAGAATCGATCACCGACCTGGATCGCGACGCCACCTCCACAGTGACGGCTGCTGCCCCGTGACCTCCGCCGCCATCGACGCTGTAGCTGCCTCCACCTCCTCCTCTTCCACATTCTCCTCCCCCCGAGTCGTCGGCGTCGTCGCCGTCCCGCCTGGAGCGGGATCGCTCCTCCCGCTCGCGACGCCGCCGCTCCCGCGCTACCTCCTCCTCGTCCTCCACCGTGCGCTGGGCGGTCAGCCTGTGGGGGCAGCGGGGCAGCAGTAGGAGGGGGCAGCGGTAGAGGGGGGGGGGCAGCAGTAGAGAGGAGGCAGCAGTAGAGGGGGAGGCAGCGGTAGAGAGAGAGAGGGGGCAGCAGTAGAGAAGGGCAGCAGTAGAGAGGGGGCAGCAGAAGAGGAAACAGATGGGCAGCAGAGGGCAGCAGCACAAGGAGAGAGGGCGATATCGATGAGAACCACCTCTGATCATTGTTTTTTCATTTATTGAAATGATACTCGCAACTGCCGGGCTGGAGCGTGGGAGGGGGGGTTGAGGAGGGGGGGGGGGCGAGGGGGTGACGTCAGCAACGCTCATGGGATGCCGATGACGGCACCTCGGCGGTGACGTCACCACCACGCACTTGCCAGCCAGGCGGGCGGCCGGCCATCCAGCCAGCCGGTAAAACCTTTATCTAACATCGCACGATTCCAACTGTGCTGTCGTCGGGGTCACGCTGGCATACGAGGAGGAGGGGAAGGAACAAAAAGTCACGGAAAGCAGCCGCATCCAACCCCCCGGGGGGGTGGGGGGAGGGTGTCAAGAAGTGTTGATGGCGTCTGGAAGATGCCGTCATAGAACATAGAACTACATCCGAGGTCTCCTTCGACTGCCTCTCATCCGCCCGAGGTGGCGCTGCGCCACCCACCCCGACGCGCCACCGTGCCCCTTGTAAATCTCAACGTTCATCCTACAAAGTCCCATCACAAGGGGGGAGAAACACAAACAAATAGACCAAAACAAAAATGCTGCCCGTATTGAAACGGCTTTACGCCGTATGGACCCGAAAACTCAATTTCCCTGCACAAGAATAAGGGGTTAAACCGTGTGGGTTGACAGGAGTGTGATGCACTCTGCCGCTGCTGCTGCTGTTCTGGGCTTGACCACTTGCATGTGTAGGGGTTATTACGGGAGAAACGGCGGACAACAAACACAGGACTGTCGGCACTCACATACACGGGTGGTCACACCGACGTCCGCATCAGTTATTGCCCACGCCCCCAGCCCTCGGAGGCGATCCCTATAAAAGGTGGAGACCCAAAGAGCTCGAGTTCAGTTCGACACGAAGCTGACCAGTGAAGATCCAAGACTCGGAGATTAGGCCCTGGGACTCCCCGGTCTCGCCGTCCTTATAAGGGCCGAGCCGGGTAAGCCAGTGGCGCGGCCCAAGAGCTTCCAGACCGCTGCCCTTATCAGGGCAAGGCTGGTTAGCTGGTGCCGAGATCTGTGCTTGCCAGGGCCAGATCAGTCAGCCTCCCGTAGCCCAGTAGAGGAGGACTGGGGGACAGGACAGAGGGCTTAGGACTAGGGTGGGTTTCCCATAGTACGGGTGAAGGGGCCGATACCCCTTCAACTATTGTGCCTGTCCCGGAGTTAATAAACAGTGTGTCTCAACTTCGACATCGTCTCCTCGAACTTACTACACTGGCAGAGGTCGCAAACGGGTTTTGATTCCTTACCCGTGCCCCGGCCGCACCAGGGTCGCAATCGGGTACCCGTACCCGTACCCTACCCGATACCCGGCTACCCGTACCCGGCCGGGTATCGGGTAGGGTACGGGTACCCGATTGCGACCTCTGGGATGAAGCCATGTTGCAGGCGCGGGTGGGTTGATTCAAATAACTTGAATTGTGATAAGAGACAAGACGTTGGGAAATGAGTGACAAACGGTGACTCACCAGTGACTCACGGCCTACCCGTACCCGTACCCGGCCGCACCAGGGTCGCAAACGGGTACCCGTATTCGGCCGGGTACGGGTAGCCGGGTATCGGGTATGGGTATCGGGTACCCGGTTGCGACCTCTGCTTGCACGTTGAAATTGGAGTTGCTGCTTCGCATCCCTGTCGAAGAAACGTGTCTCGCACACGGCCACGATGCGCCCTCCCCAAGCGGCGCAGCCACCGCAGTCGAGCCAGTGGCGTAGCTAGGATAT